AGGAACCTGGCCAGGGTTGGCACTGCTTGGTTTTTTCCAGCTATGGAAAGATGGGATCCAAGTGCACATCCATGGTATTTTCTGCAGGGAGACCCAGAAATCACAACTCCCCTCGGAGAAACTGTTTTCCAGGATTCTGTACAAAATCACTGCCTTCTGGGTGTCGGAGGAAGGTAAAAATATCCCCAAGAAAAAGCTTCTGATGGGGCTGCAGAATGTGTAAAAATGCTGGAATTGTTCTATGCTGGTTAACTATGAAAGCCAAGAAACAAACCAGGCCCAGCAGCTGCCAGCTGTGACGATGGGGAGGGGAATAAACACCCGACGCAGAGGCTGTGACATTCATTGACGCAACAGAACAACAGCAGGAAGGACACTGTAATTCCTGTAAGCTTTAAAACTTTATTTCAAATTACCCATGGTTTCCTTTTGTATTATCAATGCGCTGGAAGTTCACACTACTGGCAGACTGCAGGCAATTTAAAATAAAGTGTACAATATTCAGACACATTTATGTGTAACAGACTTACAAATTACGGAATGTATTTACAAACATACAGCATGGGATGAAGCTTTTAAATCCTCTCCTCTGTTAATTACACGTTTACACTGTTTTCAGAAATAACAAAATTAGATCGCTTTGTAAAACATCACAATATCTACACAAATGAATTTTTTAATGTCCAACTTTGCCTTAGAAGTCCTCTGTTTCTAAAACATTTTTTCGAAGAACCATTTATAGCCACAAAAGGGTAAAAATACCATTTGCCATTGCGTCACTACCGAGAACAACAGAGGTGTTCTTGGCGCTGTCAAAAGCTGTCCCTGCTTTATTTTAGAGGGGCCGCTGAGGTCGGGGCCTTTATGAAAGCCTCCCCCTTCAGAAGGGGGAGGACCCAAACCCCGGCTGTTTTGCCCTGACCACCGCAGTGCCATGGGGGACGCCCGAGCCGCTCGATCTCGAGCGTGTGACCTCGCCAAGCCCCAAACGCTGCTCAGTGCTCGACAGGGCGTGAGGAAGGACGGTGGCACAACAGAGTCAGCGTCTAAACACCATCAGGCACAGAACCCTCGGGTGGATTCCTCCCACATCCTCCAACACAAATGCCCCAGAGAGGAGAGACAACTGCCTCTTGAACACACAAAATAGAGTTTTATACAGGCTTTCTTTATAATATTCTTTCCATGGGATACAACAAAAATTGCACATAAATACACCGAAAACCCCCAACCCAATTTGCGAAACAGAACTGAAGTTGGTTTTGGTATGATAAATTAAATAAACCACATGATGAAACCTCAGGTTTGGATTTTTCTCCTAAACACCTGGTCAAGGATTAGTGTTTGCCAGCACGAAGACACAGGATTATCCACCAGGTCAGGCCAACATGGCCACCTACACCGCAGCTGCCGGAGCAAAGCCTGGCTTAGAACAAAGCCAGGGGTGGTGGGGACACAGCACCAGCCCGGCCCAGCCCCGACTGCCCTCGCCCTTCCCGTGGGCTGAGCTGCGGTGCCTGCACGCTGCGCGCCAGGGAGCGGCTGCGGTAACCAGACATGATGGGAAATGGCCATTTCTTGCAGTTCAGGCTCAACTCCCCACCCCGTTAATTCCTAAAAGCTACTACTAATGAAATGTCAAACTTCCACCGACCTGAACACCACTACATTTCATTTTCCCCAAGTGCTGGAAGCTGGACTGGAGCAACCACCGCACCCTCACAATTCCATGAAGGGAATGGTTTTCTTAAACCTGGGATATTTAAATAACCCACGGAGGGTGTGCTATTAAAAAGTTAATGTGCCCCTGTAACAACACAAATGACCTAATGTTGAAAACTGAGATGAAGTCAGCACCCCCCTCTTTCAAATTATGTGTGGAGGCAAACGTACGAGAAACACTGGTGGCCTGCGCTGTTGGCCGCCGGTGGCAGAATCTTCCGCTTGGCAAACAGCGGCAGAGACTTCAGCCGCTTCCATGTGATCCTGTAAGAATTACCAACCCTCCTTGCAAGCGAAACCAAGTGGAACTCGAGCCCTGCTCCAGAGGAAAGCAGGCCTGCGTGGAGCTGCGCTCTCCCTACCTGCATGGCAAGTTACCAGCACTTTCGTTCCTTGCAGGGCCCAGGGCTCTTACCCAGCATGAAAAGGTTTCTCTTTCCAGCCCTGCAGTTTTAAATACCCTTCAGGTGTTCTTCTCCACTTGCAACGTGATCAGCCAATGCCAAGCAGCAGCAAGTGGAATAATTATGTGAAGTAAAGGGATTCCACAGTCACCACAGCAGACCTCGGAAGAAATACGCGAAGCAAAACAGTGGAAACAGAACTGCAAATCAAAAGGGGAAAAATCCAGCCAAGACCAGTCCTTGCCAGCGTGCCCCGGCAGGTTTACTTCAGCAAAAATGACTTTTAGCTAGCCTGTTCCCATTTCTCCTTCTTTATCCCTCTGAAATCCTCTTGGCGTATTCTGCTTCAAACGCATCCCCAGATGCAAAACCGCCGATGCCTGAAGCCGGTCTCGGCCCCTGCGCACACCGTGTTATTAATAGTAGCATAATGTTCTGTGATGCTTTAAATTGGCCAAAACCTAACAAAGGAGCTGTACGGGTGGAGAACTGATTTTACAAGGTGGGGTTTTTTTTTTGGGGGGGGGGGGGGGGGGGCAGGGGGGAATTACTGTAACTGATCTGGCCTCGTCACCAGGACGACAGCACACAGAGCTGGGCTGTGTTTCGCAGGTCAACTTTCCAGCAAAACGCGAAAGTTGTCGGCTGCCTCTGCCATTCCTGTATACTGAATTTCCATTTTTATGTTAAGGGAAGAGGAAGGAAGTAACGGCAGTTCTGGAAAACCAGTGCATCTCTACATAAATTCCAACTATAAAACCCACAAAGAGAAGCCACCTTTTGCAGCAGATCGCTGCTTTTGCAGTATGCAGCCCACCCATGGAAACTCAGCAATTCTGTTCCTAAAATGATCAGTTTCTCAGGGGCTGGGACATCACCAGTGCTGGCAGGGCTGTGTGGGATGTTTCTACCCCTAATAACCGTGCTACTTGGTAACGGGTTTCTAATGGCTGGCGTGGCAGGCTGCAATTCTTTGCGCTGCAGTGAAAATACACACACGGTTCCTGATGGCATCGAGTCACGATTTGACAGAACTACGGAGTCACCGAACGCACCCCTATGTGACCAGCAGGGGAAGTGAGAGGAGGCGGGAGATCTCCCTCCGCTGACGTTGGAAACATTTTCAGATAAAGACACGTTAAAACCCAAACAGAAGGTGTCCCCAGCAAGAATGCTAATGCGATTAATGCGATTTGAACAGTTCTGGTTCAGTATCTTTTACTGAGATGTTTCTTGCGGAGGAAACGTGCAGTGTTTTTTCCCTTGGGAAAAAAAATTAATCTGTTTTTCCTTCAGATTTTAAGTAATGACGACACACCAACACAAGTTACAGCTACATGAGGGTCAACCCTGTTATCAAACACTGTAGGTTAAGATTGTGTGTTGCAATTTTTTTAATATATTATAGAAATAGCTGTTGTTCTTTGGAGGCAAAGAAATTCCCTTTCTTTGAACCCTGTGGGGAAGGAAAGAAATTTCATTCCCTCTGTGCTCACTGCAGCAACATCCTTTTTTTACAAATGAATTTCCCTAGGAATTGCTTTCCAAACTCTACACCTCTTCAGCCTACGAGGTCAGTTTCTACAGCTGGCTCCAACAGTCAGCCACCAGAATCCCCTGCCCTCCTCCCAATGAACTCTTTTTTTTTTTTTTTAAATAAGGGGCAAAAATATTGATAATAAAAACATTACTGGAAACTGTTGTGATCTCCAAAAAAATGGAGAAATGAAGTAAAACATTCCTGTCAGGAATCACGGAAACTCATTTCCTTAGAACAGAGCTCTGTGTGTTTGGATGCACTGCATGGGCAGTAAAGTCTTCACGTCCTTCTGCTTAGCCAAGGTAACCCAAAAGGTCCCGGAGGTCTTTACACAGCAGACAAGTGGTGAAGTTGCTGCTGCTTTGGGGGTGCCAGCTCCAGGAGCGCCTGGACAGTCACAGCTACCTGTGTCAAACCCTTCTCTTCTAAAATATGTAGAGGCAAACATAATTGCTCCTGAATGGGGAACAAAACAAAGACAAAAACAAAATGGATGAAAAACACTCAACTGAAAAGAAAAAAAAAATTAAGCAAAAGGTGACTGAAACATGAAATGTTATGGACAGCTAGCACACGCACAGGTATGAAATGAAATTTCAGCTTGTGACTGAAGAACCGTGAACCTGACTACGCAGAGGCAGCGGCCCTGGGGTAACCCTTGTGTTTATTAGCAGATTGTGCAGATAAGTATTTGATAAAGGATTGTGGGAGAAGTGGGGAATAACAAGTTGTCCTCTCTCTCTGCCCAACATGGAAACCAAAAGCAGATGAACATAAGGAGGGGGAAAGCTTTGCTTCAGCATGATGACCTTGCTACAACACAGGGTAAGAAAGGGACCATGGCTTCCTTTCCAAAACACAACTGCCTTTTTGAGGGAGTCCTCGTGGAACAAGCCTGTTCAGCTATTAAACGTGAGGGAAGACCTGGTTTAAAGCAGAGAATCATAGAAGAGCATCATAGAATTGTTTAGGTTGGAAAAGACCTTTAAGATCATCAAGTCCAACCATTACCCTAACCCTGCCATCCCACCACTAAACCACGCCCCTAA